AATTTGTTGATGTATCTTGTAAAATTCTTGGACATGGTGCCAAGTGCCCCGATGACAATGCGGATCACTTATTTTACATATTATAGTGGTAGTAGTAGTAGTAGTAGTAGTAGTAGTAGTAGTAGCAGCAGCAGCAGAAGCAGCAATAGTAATAATAGTAGTAGTATTGTATTGTTATATTTGTTTTACATATTATTATTGCAGTAGTAGTAGTAGGAGTATTGCATTGTTATATGTAGTAGTAGGAGTATTGTATACTATTTATATGACAGTCTAGCATACACTTACATTATAAAAAGTCACTTCTAATAACCGTTAATATTAATGTTTTAACTTTTTTTTTAAAAAAAAAACCTACCCTTCGTCTTTCCTGGCTCCCTCCGTCCAGCCCTCTCCCCCCTCCCCCACTGTCCTACCTAGCAGGGCGGGCGCTCACCTCGATCAGGGAGTAGTTGATCTCGACGTCGGACCTGACGAAGCCCCCGCATCCCACCACGATGTCCTCGGAACCCCCGGCCCCGGCCCAGAGGGCTCCGCACAACGCCCACCACCAGCAACCCCACGCCGGCGACCACCGTAGTCGGCACAGCAGCATCGCGGAGCCGCCTGTCGTAACTCGCGGAGCAGCGCGCAAGGACGGCTAAGCGCTGACTCAGGAAGAGCCGAAGCGCATGCGCCCGCTGCGCTCGGTGGTTCCTTCGCCAGAGAGGGCAAGAGCGGCGGGACGGAAGTGAGACGCGGAAGCAGGAGGTTACTTCTCGGGCCGTGCTAGGCGGGAGAGGCACTTTCGTCTCGGTTGCTTCGGAGGCTTCAAGAGAAGGAAACTTAAAAAGAAGAGAGAAACGTTTATAGAGCGTTGGGCTTTTGCAATTTATTTATTTATTCTATTTCTACAAAGCGTTAGGCTTTTGCAATTTATTATATTTCTACAAAGCGTTGGAATTTTGCAAATTTGTTTGCTTATCTGTTTATTCGTTTATTATACTTTTACAAAGCGTTGGGATTTTGCAAATTTGTTTGCTTATCTGATTATTCGTTTATTATATTTTTACAAAGTGTTGGGCTTTTGCAATTTATTTATTATAGTTCTACAAAGCGTTGGGCTTTTGCAATTTAATTGTGTATCTGTTCACTTGTTTATTATATTTCTACAAAGCGTCGGGCTTTTGCAATTTACTTATTTACCTGATTATTTGTTATATTTCTACAAAGCATTGGGCTTTTGCAATTTATTTGTTTGTTTATCTGATTATTTGTTTGTTTATTATATTTCTACAACACCTCCCATCACATCTAAGCGACTCTGGGCGTTTTACAGACTTAGAATACCTTTACCGTCACTTTGAATGTACACCGATCGGCATACATTGAAATAAAATTCCATTGCATACAATAAAAAAGAGAATAAAAAGCATACCTTAAAATTTAATGCATGCTTTTTATTCTGTTTTTTTTTTTAATTTATGAGTTAAATTTAACAAACTCTAAACAAATTAGAGTTAAGGACAAGCTTCAACTTGAGATATGAAAAAGTTAAACAAGCAAAAGGAGGACCCAGAATTTTGCTGGTTTGCAGTTTTGCTCACATCCTACCTGGGTTTGCGGCCTTTCATTTATACGGAATAGGGTGCAATTGCTTCCCTCTGCCTCAATCAAATCATTGTTTGCTTAATGGTGGTTTACTGTTGAACTTACTACTGAGGAATGAATTTGCAGAGTGTTCAGCTGGATTGCCAGTTGAGCATGGCTCACTTCCAGCTACCTGTTCCTGAAGAGAATCGATGGGCAGGCAGGGCAGATCAATAGCTGGATGTGGAGCAGTAGATAATAATGACAGAGTTTGTGGGAAAATATCCATCAAATGCAGAAAGATTTCTGAACAAGAGGTTTGTTAAAAAGACCGCACTGTGCAAGCAGGCTGTGTTCATACAAGCAGCTCGTTTTTGTGACTTTGCAGAGTGAGGTGAACTATAATCAAATGGGTTGTGTTCACAATGGGGATGTTGTAATCAAGTGAGTTGTGTTGACATTGCAAACAAACGGGTTCCTAGGATGATGCGAAGCTTCATGATGTCGTGCCATAAATAGCAACAGCTCTTAGACTTATATGCCGCTTCACAGTTCTTTTACAGCCCTCTCTAAACGGTTGACAGAGTCAGCCTTTTGCCCCCCAACAATCTGGGTTCTCATTTTCACCCACCTCGGAAGGATGGAAGGCCGAGTCAACCTTGAGCCTGGTGAGAATCCAACTGCTGACAGTCGGCAGAATTAGCCTACAATATTGGATTCCAACCACTGTGCACCAAGGAAGGAAGGAAGGAGAAAAGGAATAGCGCTTAGACTTACATGACACTTCACTGTGCTTTTACAGCCCTCTCCAAGCGGTTTACAGAGTCATCCTATTGCATCCCCCCAACAATCTGGGTCCTCATTTGACCCACCTCGGAAGGATGGAAAGCAGAGTTGACTTGACAAAGGTTGCTGTGTGGTTCTGGAGTCCCTACATCTATTGTAAATATATCCTGTGACCCAGTGGTGGGTTTCAAAAAAATTTGGAACCTCTTCTGTAGGTGCGGCCTGCTTTCTGGGTCCACTGGTGGAACCTCTTCTAACCGGTTCGGTAGATTTGACGAACCGGTTCTACTGAACTGGTGCGAACCGGTTCGAACCCACCTCTGCTGTAACCCATATTTGTCATGAGAAAGGGGTTGTGTATCCCTTTATTGGCTGAAATTCCCAACATAATGGAGCACAAAAAAACCCCTCTATGCAGCTTTATTATTTTTATAAATAGCGCAAGGCAGTGAACATACCTAATACTCCTTCTATTTTCCCCACAACAACAACAACCCTGTGAGGTGATTTGGGCTGAAAGAGAGAGACTGGCCAAAGTTACCCAGCTGGCTTTCATGCCTAAGGTGGGACTAGAACTCACCTTCTCCTGGTGATTGGCGCAAGGTCACCTAGCTGGCTTTCATGCCTAAGGTGGGACTAGAACTCACCTTCTTCTGGTGATTGGCCTAAAGTCACCCAGCTGGCTTTCATGCCTAAGGTGGGACTAGAACTCACAATCTCCTGGTGATTGGCGCAAGGTCACCCAGCTAGCTTTCATGCCTAAGGTGGGACTAGAACTCACCTTCTGGTGATTGACGCAAGATCACCCAACTGGCTTTCATGCCTAAGGTGGGACTAGAACTCACAATCTCCTGGTGATTGGTGCAAGGTCACCCAGCTAGCTTTCATGCCTAAGGTGGGACTAGAACTCACCTTCTGGTGATTGACGCAAGATCACCCAGCTGGCTTTCATGCCTAAGGTGGGACTAGAACTCACAATCTCCTGGTGATTGGTGCAAGGTCACCCAGCTAGCTTTCATGCCTAAGGTGGGACTAGAACTCACCTTCTGGTGATTGACGCAAGATCACCCAACTGGCTTTCATGCCTAAGGTGGGACTAGAACTCACAATCTCCTGGTGATTGGCGCAAGGTTACCCAGCTGCCTTTCATGCCTAAGGTGGGACTAGAACTCACCTTCTCCTGGTGATTGGCGCAAGGTCACCCAGCTGGCTTTTATGCCTAAGGTGGGACTAGAACTCACATTCTCCTGGTGATTGGTGCAAGGTCACCCAGCTGCCTTTCATGCCTAAAGTGGGACTAGAACTCACCGTCTCCTGGTTTCTAATCTAGTGCCTCCACCACGAGACCAAACTGGTTCTTAATAGCCATTTATGTGGCTGAGAGAGATTTACTAGCACAAACTTAGTTGAATCTGGGTGTTCCTTCCATGGTTTTGGTTCAACCACCCTTTCTTGTTGATGTTCAGTTCAACATGTCCTTTTTCAGACCTTCCAATGCTGATTCTAGCAGGATTTACATTCTCGGCACACATGGTTGATTTATCAACTAAAGCAGGTATCTAAGCCGTGGCATCAATCCTAGACTGCTTTCCAATTTAAGAGAATCATTTACCAGTCTGGTTTATTGATTAGTTTACACCAAGCCAGGCATATAACCTTCAGTGGACTTTACTACTAAATTCCCAAAGCGCTCTTCGTTTGAAAACAGCTCATCCCCAGGAATGTCCTTCAGTGGGGTTTATTTAATTTGTGTTTCTGGTTTTCAATAATACCCACACACACACACACAGTATATTGTAAACTAAGATTTACAACTGAACCATTGTGGTTTATTTAACAATACATGATTAGAGAAATCAGGGCTTCATACAGTGTGGGAATCCGTCTAAGGTGCAGAGAAGAGCAACAAAGATGATTAGAGGACTGGAAACTAAAACATACGAAGAACGGTTGCAGGAACTGGGTAGGTCTAGTTTAATGAAAAGAAGGACTAAGGGAGACATGATAGCAGTCTTCCAATATCTGAGGGGCTGCCACAAAGGGAAGATGTTGAAAAGTCCTC